CCATCATGTAGTAGTTGAGTGGCAAGGTAAAACGTTCGGGTCTTCTTTCTGTCTCCATTGAAGTCATCTGGGAGACGGATCTTGATTTCGGTTGGTCGTGCTTGCATGACTGGTGCAGCAATGCCTGCTCCAGTCGCTTGGGCAGTGGGATCGATCGGGTTCGTCATGGTTCTGGTTCAAGGGACGGGATTCCACTAGGGAGTCCAACGAGGATGATCAGGAGTAGAGGAGGGGTTGCCTAGGCTTGAAGAAGTCGGCAAGTGTCGTAGAAGAGTTCAACCTAATGTTAGGAAGCGATGTCCTAACTAGTCGTCTTGAGATAACTGGGCCACGCGCCAACAGTTATGTCGTCACTACCTCAGTAAGCGTACTGAAAGGTAGGTCTGGCCGGGCCAATGCCAACGGTCAAGTCAAGAGTCCAGGTAATCGCTGTATTCAACAGGAGGTTGAACTAAGGAATACATGGGTTTTCCTACAGTATATATAGTAACTGGTATAGGGGTTAATACCCAAAGAAGAGAACAATAAGAAAGGACGCGTAAGCTATCCTGTGAGAACGTAACTCAGAGAAATGAGAAATACAAGGGCGCCCATTGGTAGAAGGTGAGTCAAGGGAGATAACGTGTGGGAAGAAGATAGCGTCCATGGGAAGTTCTACTCAGAGAAAGGTACTGTCCAATAGCAATGCTCGGAATGGAAATGGAATGAGATAAGCATGGGAAAATCATAACAGCAAGGAGCTACGCGACTTCGTTGGCAAGCTCCGTCGCCATGTCCTCCGACTGAAGGAGTATCACCAGTACGACCCGGCAATGAACTCCAGGCTGGAGGTGTGGACGTCGCGTCTGTCGGATATGCTGCGCCTTCTGGAGAAGGACGGCCCTGTCACTGCCTGTAAGTACCCGATTAATGCGGGTAAGACGACTTAGCTGATTTCTCATCTTGAAGCGGACCTCCCGAAGGTCATCCAGGACGCCCTCATGAACCTCGCATCTCTGGAGGAGATACGCGACCTCCAGGCGCACCTCATAGCTGCGCTGGAGAATGCAGGGGTTATGCTTGATGGCGGTGAGGAGCCACTGGATTTTGATCTGGACTCCCAGGCGTTCGACTGGAAGGCATGGAAGGAAGGGACGGAGGACCTCGCAAAGGTGAGTGAGGAGGAGCTATGGGCTCACCTCGGGTTCGGGGAGAAGAAGCAGCTGCCGCTCTTTCAAGAGTGGTATGATCCGTCGGGGATGATTGAGCCGTGGTCGGAGGAGGGTGTGGCCTGGCTCGAGAATCCCCAGTCGGGGCGTGCGCGGCTGCAGCCGAAGTGGCACCAGCTGGTGGGCATCTTCAGGATGCTCCAGCATCTCTTTGAAGGCCGCGCGGTGCTGCTGATGGACGGTGTAGGGCTGGGGAAGACTTTGCAGTCTGTCGGAGTGCTGGCGTGCCTGGTATACTACCGGGAGCATTATCGGCAGAAGAATGATTATCCTGGGTGGTTCAGTAAGCGTGACCGTCCGTTGCACCATTCCGACTCACTGACTATGCTGCAGAAGGTCGACGGTTCCAGAGTCACTTGTCGGGTATGATTCCCGACCTACCCAGCATTATCGTCTGCCCGCCGAATCTCCAGGCACAGTGGACGCGGGAGATGCACGCATTCCTGAGGCGTCGCAGCTTTGACATCCTGCCACTGGTCGGGAAGCATGCCTCTCGACGCAACTGGGACGACGCGGTGTTCGAGAAGAGCAAGCAGGCCCCTACCATGAAAGTGGTCTTGACTGGGACACAGGTATTGCATCAAACTTAATCTCAGGGACGGTTACTAACACGAGACGCAGGTCCTCGCGGACGACGGCAAGATGCTCTTCGAGGCGGTGGAGAAGAGGGGGGAGGCGAACCCCTCCGTGGCATTCAGCCGCTACCGCAAGGGCACGGCATACGGGCAGGACTACCTGCTCCTAATACTGGACGAGGCTCACGCCGCGCGGAAGCCCAACCAGCTCCACGTTGCGGTTCGTGGACTTCGGGATCGCGTCTCGGCCATGGTCGCAATGACTGCCACGCCAGTCACCACCAAGCCCGAGGTATGTCATCAGAGTCTTTGTAATTTGGACAGAACTTGACATCGGGCAACAGGACCT